CCTTAAATGCATTCCGGAAGGTTACCCTAGGCTGGCAGGATTAGCAGCGTCTTTAGACTGCGTCACCGTCTCCAGTGCAGTTCCAGGCTGATGGATACGATTTTTTCTAGATTCATATTAGTTTCGTGGGTTAAAAAGTCTCAGAACTCGCCTGGCGTTGGTGCCATACGCCTTTTTCCCCAGCACTCGGGAGGCAGAGGCAGGCGGATCTCTGTGAGTTCGAGACCAGCCTGGTCTACAAGAGCTAGTTCCAGGACAGCCTCCAAAGCCACACAGAAAAACCCTGTCTGGAAAAACCAAAAATAAAAAAGTCCGAGATCCAGTCTAGGAGGGAAAAAATAACAGCCCCTAAAAGTCCCGGAACAGAAACGGGAGCTTTTCTCTATAATTCAGTCTGTGGCCTGATGATTTAAGGCTGTGTTCTGTGTCGTTATAGGAGACGGTAAAACAGAACAGAAAGGAGGAGATAAAAAGAGAGGTGTTAAAAGACCGCGAGAAGATCATGGCCGAGGATATTTTGAGTACATTGAAGAAAACAAGTACAGCAGGTAGAGGATCCTAACCTAGTTTTATTTGTCACCCAGTTTTTATGCGTGGTTGGGAAAGCTTTATCAGGAGACGATTCTGTCTTTCAGAGCCAAGTCTCCTCAGCCACCTGTTGAAGAAGAAGACGAACACTTCGATGACACAGTGGTTTGTCTTGATACTTGTAAGTGAAGCAAACTTTCCCGCTCTTTTTCTCAAATATTTAAGTGCAGTGCTATTTTGGTTTAACTCTTAGGAAAAGTGTGTTTGTATATCTTAAAGTGGAGAAAACCCGTTAGATTGTTTTAAATCAGGAAGATAATAGCTCATGTTCAGGTTACAGTAGTTTTATGTTTAGCGACACTTCAGTTGTATTGCTGTTTTTACAAGCTCTACTAATTGATACTTATGTCATGGAAGTTCCCAATATTTAGGGATGTAAAACTAATACCGATTTTTGTTCAGCTTTCAGAAACTTGTTTTTAAAACCTGCCTGTAACATGTCCTTAGATAGGTAATATGAAAATTAAAATTTTTCTGTGGAGCTACTATATTAAGTGAGCTATTTGGGCTAGTTGAATACTTACTAACGATTTTCCCATTAGCGCACAAGTACATTCCCTATTCTAAGGATTGTCATATTACCTTTTCAATAACTGCTCTTTTGTTCTCAATTCCAGTTCAGTAGCTGCTGCTCTAACATAAGTTGATTTCTTCCAAAGACCTGGGGCAGCAGCAGTGGGCTATCTGAGCCACTAGCTTTCTTCAGCAGCGAATGGTATCAATGGCAGCGCTGTAAATATGCTACTTTAGAGTATGAGGAAGTATTGCAAGCCATGAAATGGGCTTTAGCTGTCAGATTTGTATTTTGATCCTTTCAAGAAGTTTGTTAGTTTAGTATTTGATAGGGATGTATAATGCTTGGTGTGAGCAGAACAAAAGGTGCTTGAATAAAGAGTTTTAAAGGGTTTCACATGTTAGAAAGGGTTAAAAACTTGTATTCCCTTGTTTACTTATACACATTGTGTTCAGAGTCCTGAGAGTTAAATGTAACTTGGCTGCTTTCTGTCAGTTAAGTCTTGAAGAAAGAGAGGAGAAAACAGCTGATTTGGATTTTTTTTTTTTTCTGAAGTGTAAAAGATTTTGGAATTCACAAGGTGCTTTAGCCGGGATTGAAGAGAATGGTTAGCAGTGCTATTTCAGAAGAATAGTTTAAGATCCAGTCGCCAGGATTACTTGTTTTAAACACAAATTTTAATTCTGTCAGCAGTCAGGAATATTATGAACAAAGCTGGAGAATTTCAAACAGCAGATGCATTTAATAAAAACCAAGAGCCTTATAATTTAATATTCTTTGTCAAGTGAATTCTGAGAAGCTGCATAATGAGGTCTAGTGACCCAAAGATAGCTAGGTTAAAGACTGGATTTGTATAATCCAGGCAGGAGTTAATTCCTAGTGGTTATACCTTACCAGGGTGGTAAAACAGACACATTAACACTTCAGACTGACAGGTTTGTGGGTTGATCTGGCTTACAAGTTTTCAGAAGTGAGTTAAGGTTCTGGAACCCTGGTTTTAGTCTACAAAGTTACAGGATCAGCAGCTCTCAAAATATTTGGTGGTGGCTTCACTTCTGTTATTGTCACTGGTAAATTCTACCTGGTTCTGGCATGCTTCACTTTGATTTCCTGCTGTCCTCTACTGCTTGCCTCTAAATCAAGGTAAAGAGCAGAGCAGGTATGTATTGATATTGCATTGTCTCAGTCATATTACATACTTAAATAACTTCAACGATTGGCAGTTGATGTTTTAGTACATAATTAAGACTGCCTTGGTGGGAGTGGGGCTCCAATGAGAGTTTAGGAACAAGCGCATGATACAAAGACAATTCTCAGCAGTAATAAATACGATTAAAAGCATCTAGATTTTCTCTACTTTGCTGAAATACATTGGGTGTCAAAAATAATTTGGCATTTGATATAATTTCAGATAACTGTGATCTGCATTTTAAAATATCGAGAGACCGCCTCAGTGCTTCTTCCCTTACTATGGAGAGTTTTGCTTTTCTCTGGGCTGGAGGAAGAGCATCTTACGGTGTATCAAAAGGCAAAGTCTGTTTTGAGATGAAGGTAAATGGAATTTTGTGGCTTCTCAGGAGCTTTGTTTTTATTGGTACCAGTCACAGGAGCCTATTAAGTTTTCTTGGGAGACTTTGCCATTAAAATGTTTTGATACCGGAATATAGAGAGCTGTCTCACTTACAGAGTTTTCCTTTAAATATACATTAATTTTGACCTTTGTTAATGCTGTGTATTATCAACTTACTAGTTGTTAGTTGGTGATTGTGATTGGTTAAAGATTGAATGCTTTTCTCTTTGTGTTAATAGCAGAGGAAGAAATTGGGTCCATAACCCAATACCATAGGGTTTAAGGGATTTAGTCTTTTATAGCTTAATCATGTAATTTTGATTCTTAGGTAACAGAGAAGATCCCAGTAAGGCATTTGTACACAAAAGATATTGATATACATGAAGTTCGGATTGGCTGGTCACTAACTACAAGTGGAATGTTGCTTGGTAAAGTTTACTTATATTTGAGTCATGTGGAAGCTTAGATGTTTAAGGTCTGATTACATTATTGAAACCTAGAACTAAAATGTTAATAAGCCTTGACCTGATTTTATCTGTTCAGTGTTACTTTTTTATAGTTAGAATGTACAGACAAGGATAGTTTACTTTCCTTGTTCTTCTGTAGTTCTAAAGATGATTAAAATAGACTACTTTTGGCATGTAAATTGTCAATTTAATGTGTATATCCTACCAGACTATAAGTCACTACTATAAGTCACTTAAGCATTTGGGATAAAGGCAGATCTGTCAGAATGTAAGGCAATATGCTCAATAATTTTTTAAAAACATTTTTTAATTCATTTTACATGCCAACCACTGTTATCCTTGTCCACCACCATCCATTCCTTAGGGTGAGGCATTCTAAGCCTGGCATACTGAGTTGAGGCAGGACAAAGTCCCTCCCCCCAATGATACCTTTTTAGTATATGTTTTAAATAGTTTAGTGTGCTTTGGACTGCTTAGACCCTAATTTTAAGTTTTTTTTTTCCTTTTAGGGGAAGAAGAATTTTCTTACGGGTATTCTCTGAAAGGAATAAAAACATGCAACTGCGAGACAGAAGATTATGGGGAGAAGTTTGATGAAAATGATGTGATTACATGTTTTGCTGTGAGTTAAACTTACTGTAAATATCAGTAGCTGTGTGTGTATATTATAGATTAAAGAAATACTATCCGTGTGATTAAACTTACATACTGATTCTGGGTTAAAGACAGGGCCTTAGGAAAAGAGGCTCAGCAGGTAAAGTTCTGCTGTGTGAGCATCAGAGTTTGGATAACCTTGCACCAGTGTAAAATCAGCACAGTAGCGGGCATCTAACTTGGGTTTGGGTGGGAGTGGAGAAGAAACAAATGAAGCCTCCAGCTCTAGGTTTAATGACAGAGGAATACACCCAACATGGAACCCTGCTGTGAAACAAGGCAGTTAAAATTGGGGGGAAAGACATTTCAAGGATCACAAACATTTTTTTTAAAGATTTTATTCATTATATATACAACATCCTGCTTCCATGTGTATCTGCACACCAGAAGAGGGCATCAGATCTCATAATAACGATGGTTGTGAGCCACCATGTGGTTGCCTGGAATTGAACTCAGGACTAACTGTAATGAGACTTGGCACCCTCTTCTGGCATGCAGGCATACATGCTGGCAGAACACTGTACATATAATAAATAAATAAATCTTTTTTTAAAAAATGAATGGCCTGGGAAACACCCTCTAAATCCTGAATCATTACATCTCAGCATTTAGCTTAAACATGTTAACTGCAGGGTGAGTCTACTCCTGTTTCTTGACAAGTTTAGAAAGCTCTCAAAATAGTTTCAAGCTGGCTTAAAATACTTTTGTTGACAGAACTTTGAAACTGATGAAGTTGAACTCTCCTATGCGAAGAATGGACAAGACCTTGGTGTTGCCTTCAAGATCAGTAAGGAAGTTCTTGCTGACCGGCCACTGTTCCCGCACGTGCTCTGCCATAACTGTGCAGTTGAATTTAATTTTGGTCAAAAGGAAAAGCCATATTTTCCAATACCTGAAGACTATACTTTTATCCAAAATGTCCCCTTAGAGGACAGAGTTAGAGGACCAAAGGGACCTGAAGAGAAGAAGGATTGTGAAGTAAGTTGTTTTCAATGTGGTATTTGTAGATTGTTCATAAACTGAGCAAGGCTAAATGATGGGAAAATTATAAATACTTGCTGATGAATAATAGTCTGTCGTGTGTGTGTCCCCCCCGTAGGTTGTAATGATGATTGGCTTGCCAGGAGCTGGCAAAACTACCTGGGTTACTAAGCATGCAGCTGAAAACCCTGGGAAATACAACATTCTTGGAACAAATACCATTATGGACAAAATGATGGTAAGTAAAATTTAAAGTGTCAAGAATATTAGGGGATACCTCTGAGGAAGAACACTTACTTGCCTAGTATACATTACATGTACCCTGACATTAATCTTAGAATTATAGTAAATGGGTTCAGAAGTTATCCTAGGTTAACCTTGGCTTGTGTTTCTCTTATTAATATCTTAGAGAAAAGAATTTTGGCTAAAACAAAGTGGGGTACTTTAGTGATTGCTTTCCCATAAATTAACCTTGAACAGCAATTTAAAGAGCAAGGTCATAAAAGCTATTGTAGTAATGAAAGGATGCAGTTGAATTTGTAAAAATGGTGCCTGGTGTCCTGTATGTGCAGTTCAGAGCTTTTAAAATACACAAAGTAAAAGAAAAATTTTGGTAGGTGGCAGGTTTTAAGAAGCAAATGGCAGATACTGGAAAACTGAACACGCTGTTGCAGAGAGCTCCACAGTGTCTTGGGAAGTTTATTGAGATTGCTGCCCGCAAGAAGCGGAATTTTATTCTGGATCAGGTGAGCAAAAGCTTTGAAATTTTTTTAATATTAATTGATAAGATGTGAGATTAATGTCTTTTAACTCTTCACTTTTCCCTTTAAGACAAATGTGTCTGCTGCGGCCCAAAGGAGAAAAATGTGCCTGTTTGCAGGCTTCCAGCGAAAAGCTGTCGTAGTTTGCCCAAAAGATGAAGACTATAAGCAGAGGACACAGAAGAAAGCAGAAGTAGAGGGGAAAGACCTACCAGAGCATGCTGTCCTTAAAATGAAAGGCATGGAGTTTTCCTGTTATTACTTACTGTCTTAAGTCTGTTTCTGTGAGTTATGCCTGAAAAGTGTTTTTTAAAACTGCCAGCACTGTTAGGAATTATATTAATTTGGCAAATAGAAATGTGTTTATAAAAGATGTCTCTAAGCTATCCATGAACAAATATAGTTTTATAATTTTAATCTGACTTTATTCCCTATAGGAAATTTTACCCTGCCAGAGGTGGCTGAGTGCTTTGATGAAATAACCTATGTTGAACTTCAGAAGGAAGAAGCCCAAAAGCTTTTGGAGCAATACAAGGAAGAAAGCAAAAAGGCACTCCCACCAGAAAAGAAGCAAAATACTGGCTCAAAGAAGAGCAATAAAAATAAGAGTGGCAAGAACCAGTTCAACAGAGGTGGTGGCCATAGAGGACGTGGAGGATTCAATATGCGAGGTGGCAATTTCAGAGGTGGAGGCAAGTTAATTTTAATATTCTATTCGATTGAAATTTTAAAGTGAGCAGAGGATCTTTTAGTTTGTCAAGTAGCTAAAGAAGTTAATTTCTTAGATATTTTATGCTGCCATGTCTAATTAGTATGTAATTTACAATTCATACTATATATTCAGTAGTGAAGTATGACATTATTTGTTTTTCACTAATGCTGTAACTGGACTGAACTCTAGGTTATGGCAGGACTAAATAAACTCTTCTTGTGTTTAGCTCCTGGTAATCGTGGCGGATATAATAGGAGAGGCAATATGCCACAGAGAGGTGGCGGTGGTGGAAGTGGTGGAATTGGCTACCCATACCCCCGGGGCCCTGTTTTTCCTGGCCGAGGTGGTTACTCGAACAGAGGAAATTACAACAGAGGTGGAATGCCCAACAGAGGGAACTACAACCAGGTAAGAGGAGCTAGCATCTATAATTTGACCTAGAAAGTTGTAGGTGGCATTGACATAGTTGTGAAGCAGTTTAGTTTAATGATCTTTGCTTTTCAGATGCACTAACAGTAACAACAATGACCAGGGGTATACAGGGTTTCAGCATGCCCCTTTAAAATGTCCAAGCATTACTTCAGACCTATTTACAGATATTTTTTTTTCCCTTTCATAGAACTTCAGAGGACGAGGAAACAATCGTGGCTACAAAAATCAATCTCAGGGCTACAACCAGTGGCAGCAGGGTGTAAGTAGTTTTCTTAAGTAATTACATAAATTGTAGTTTTTATGTTTACAAGAATCAGATCGGAAGTTCTTATCTAGGGATTGAAGTGTTTGATACAATTATAGTCTTATTACTGTGTTATAAATTGTAACCATGGATAGGCTGGAGTTTTAACAGATTTTTAGATAAAGTAATATTTACTACATACGGTGTTTTTATTATGGTTCTTTTTAATAGTTTTAATTACGTAAACTAACCCAAGTCTTGTGTTTCTTTTTGTAATGTGTATTGGTAAATAATATGGGTAATTGGTAAATTAAAACTAAGTCTCTGGTCTGATGTAGAAATTAAGTGTGACAAGTATAAATTTGTTTCCAGCAATTACTCTGAATTAGATCATTGTCATTTCCTAAAAACAATTTGAGTGGCTTATTGATGTTTTTTTTTCTTTAAAAACAAAATTTTCTCTTACAGCAATTCTGGGGTCAGAAGCCATGGAGTCAGCATTATCACCAAGGATATTATTGAATACCCAAATAAAACGAACTGATACATATTTCTCCAAAACCTTCACAAGAAGTCGACTGTTTTCTTTAGTAGGCTAACTTTTTAAACATTCCACAAGAGGAAGTGCCTGCGGGTTCCTTTTTTAGAAGCTTTGTGGGTTGATTTTTTTTTCTTTTCTTTTTTGTACATTTTTAATTGCAGTTTTAAAGTGAATCGTAAGAGAACCTCAGCATTGTGCACGATAAGAGAATGTGTCAGTATTTCAGGGTTCTACATTTTATCTGTAAAATGTGACTTTTTTTTATCACAACAAAAGTAAAATGTTGCTTTGTACCTGGTGTCTTTTATTAAGCATTTACTCCCCCATTTCTCACAGAGAATAACAGTCGGGAGTCATTGTCACAATAAAATAGCAATGTTAGCAACCAGATTCATGGAAGGACTAAGTGGTCCTCATGAATTGCATAAGATTCTGTATTGCTCATAATACACTCCATCCTCTCTGTAAACTGGTGGGTAATAGTGGAAAGGAAATTTCTGACAAACCGGGAAAGCTATTCTTTTTTCTGTTTAACAATGGAATTTGAACAATTGGGAATGAAGATAAAATTTAGAACCAAGATTGAGAAGATGGAGTGTATGTAGAAGGGCTGTTAAAAATGTAAACTTGGTTGCATTATATGTGGAGGCTCAAACTTGTGAAGGTTAAATACCATAAATTTTTCCATTTGTTCTGCATTTTGATTCTGAAAAGAAAGCTGGCTTTGCCCATTTCTTATTAAAAAAACTTGTTGTAAATCCAGTTGTCTAATGGGATCTATATGAAGTTAGCTATGTCTGTATGCCCTTCTCCCACAAAATACTGTATAACTAGTGTGCTTGTAGTAGTTAACTCCACCATCTTTGTAAGCTAATGAAATTGTGAGTCACCCATTTATATCTTTTAATCATGTCAGTTCTTGAATGGGTATCTCCTTAGCCTGCTGATTTCTTTTTCTTTCTAAAGAAAGTGGGTGGAGAAATTAATTTAGACGTTTGTTTGCAATAAAAAGAATTCATTTTACTCTTGTTTGGGATTCTCGCCATCAAGGTTCAAAATCCCTTTATACTACAACTCCCAAGAGGAGAAATTATAAGTGTGTGCTTTCTGGACAGCTTATTCTTTTACTCTGTACTTGGAACATTTAGGTTTTAAAAACTTAAATGTATATTGACAATTGATTTATATAATATAAAGCTGAATTCTTCCCTTCCCCTCCCCCCCCAGGTGGCTTTTAACATTTATGAGGGGCAAAGGTACTGGCTGGGAGAAGTTAATGCTCAGTTGATCATGCTTATGAAATGTGAATGGCTGTCCTCACCTGATTATATACATAACTATTACATGAACCTTTGGGAACAGATGCTTTTAGAAGCCATCATGCAAGCCAGTCATTGATTTCACTACTACACAATGCTGCTAACTTAACTAGCTATGTGATAACATTAGATCCCCTAATTGTAATTTTATTGGGTTTGCACAGAACACTTAAATCTAAAGGATCCTCACTGTGTGAAGTGAGAATCAGGAGTCAAAGTGTAGAACTAAAATTAGAATTTAGTCTAGTGTGCCAGTTTTTTTTAGCCTGCTTCTGGTAAGTTTAGGTTTTCTATATTGCTGTTTCTGTAGGATTTTGTTGAGGTATTTTAAATCAGATGTTTTTTAAATGTGAGTTTATTGTAGTATATTCATGGAAATTGTTACAAGGCAGCCAGTTTTAGATTAAATAGGTTGAAATAGAAATAACACTAAAAGGTAGTGTCTTTGGCATTTGGCTTAAAAATAAACTTACTGTTAGTAACTGCTGCATATACATTATTAGGATTATATATTCCTAACCTGGGGGACAATTCAACCTTTTAATTCTGATTAATCAATGTTGTTTATCCTGATATTTTAGTTTGTGCCTTTCAAAGACCTAGCAGTAGAGACTTAGGGGGGAAAAAAAGGAGAAAGGGGATCAGCTAACAAAGTAGGACTTGATAAAGTAAAATGCCTTCTGGCAGTAAACACTACACTTAGCAGTTACATCTATGCTTGCAAATTCTCTTTAGTGATTTAGTAAGAGTGATTGCATACAAAGGGGAGGAAAATGACTTATTTTAAAAATATTGATGAAATCAGACCTGAAGGAAAGAATTGACTTAAAAACATGCCCAGTGATAAGCAAAATACTGGTTTGAAATAATGTGTCAACCAGAAAAACAAAAAACAGGATTGCTTTTGGTTCAAGATGTGCTTTCAGTCAAGCTGGGCATGGCAGCAAAGGCCTGTAATCTACAGAGGGGCAGAAAAATTACCACAAGCCTTGGCTACATGTTTTATAGTAGGGCCCTTTAAAGGTCTTACCTTAGTGAAATCCATTGCCTGCTGAGCAAAAGCTGGGGAACAGGGCCACATCGTTTGGTCAACACTAGTACTTAGGAAAATATTGTAGATTAATAACAATTGTAGAAGTATACAAGATAGAACAAATTGGTATAGTCTCAAGTTTCTGATAGGATCCAAGTAGATATTGAAGACCTTGGCTGTGACTAAGAAGGCTTATGGTTAACTTATAAGCCATTTTCTAGATTCTAGAAGACAAAACCAGTATTTTTAACTTTGAGGTTACATTTTGGCTTGAATTTAAGATTCCCTCTTAATGACTTTTCTATAAGCTTGTTCATTAATTCAAGTCTAATAGACTAGACTGTATAAAAAAGACTGATAGCTTTTTAGGTAGTGTGCAGTTGTTAAAGCCTAGTTGCATGTGCATCAGTGTGAATATATTTGATTTTTTTTTAAAAAAAAAAAGAGTAAGTATAAAGCCCATAAATTCCTTCTTACATAAATGTAATATATTTTTTATTAAAGTGAACAATTTGTAGCAGATTACATTCCAGTATTCATTCAGTTATTTTTCCTAGAAAGATAACCAAAAAAACATTTGCCTAAATCAATTTGGGGATAAAATTCATAAGGTGGTTTGAGTCTAATTTTTTCTATACTAAATATTCTGGTGCCTGGGTATTGGAAGTAGTGTTTGGGAACTGCTAAGTTGTAACTTTAATAGTAATTAAACCAAAACGTTAAAGAACCCTTATGTGGTTAGTGTACCTACCCATTCAGAGTATAGTTAGGCCACGGTCACTTAAAAGGACTCAATATAAGTCACAAAGCTTGGAATAACTAGCTTTGTGGCTCAACAGTTGCTTTCCCTGGGGAACCTTTTCTGAGTATGATTTGTAGCTTGGCATTTGAGCAGAGATGTAGATACAACTTTTGCTTCAACTTATAAATAAAAAGGTAGGAAAGCCTATCCAGTTGTTTTTTTTTTTTTTTGAGTTTTCAGGCCCTGGTATTTATTTTTCCTTGTTGTGGGTACATACTTGTAAGAGACAAGTATTCAAGGAACTTTGTTTGGCTAACTCATGTTGGAGTGTGGCCTTTGTCTCATTAATCCTTGTCACTAACTTTTTTTTTGCCAAAGCCCTTGGACATTTGGAAGTGATCTATACACCCTTTGAGTGTACACTAGTAGTGTAGTGTAGACTAGCAGTTAGAACCAGGGATCTTGAAGTATCTCACAAAGTGTATGCTAGTTTATTTGAAAACACATGGGTCAGACTCATGTCAAACAGCAGATTGAAAGCCAGAACTCTGGGAATGAATTTTCTTTCCCCATTGACTAAAGGGACATGAGGTTGAATATTGAGATGCTCTAGAATGTCACATAATTTGCAAGGTGGGATTCAGAAGATTAAGCAATACTTAGACAATGAAGCATCTTAATTACAAGCCCAATGCCAGTAGGGTAAGTGATAGGCCAATATTCTGTTAGCCATATGCTAGAATCTATTCTATACTTGTAGCAAAAGAAGGAAGTCTGGGTGGAGAGGCTCCTTTAAAACAAAGCTGAGCCAGCATATGGAGCTTGCTATATTATATTCAGCATCATTAGACAGTTTAGGACCTGTGTATTCTGGAAAACTAGAAAGGTTCCAGGCATTTCTTTGAACAACTGGATACCTTGTATGGTAGTGACATAATGCCATATTCAACTTCTGTAGAATTTACTTGGGTTTGAGTAAGTTGAATTGTTTGCCTGCTTTCCTTTGGTCCCCTTGGATGAGACAGAAAATAGTTCACCCACTAAAAATAATCCTTCACCTGGACACCTAAAAGTTTGATACTGACCAAAAGTTGAAGCCATAGACCAAAACTTGTGAATTCAAGTATTAAAAGCATACGTAGGTAGATAAAATATTTTTGTCAGCTAAGGCCTACAAGCTAGTTGAGGTGGGAGAATCATGGACAAGTAACAAGAACCAAGGGTTCCAGCATTTTCTTGAAGCTTAGTAATAAAAGCAATGTGTTGATTTAAATTTCATCTCCTTTTTCTTAGTCTGTCCATGTGACTGTGCTGTGTGAAGAGTAAAAGGGGCCCAACTAAATGTGTTCCAGTGATTCTAATAGGTATTCAAATTAATTGCTGCTTGTATGTTAATCAGTTATGTTAGGTTTCCAGGATCACATTACACAAAGCCATTGGCAACTAAGTGGACAGGACACATCTCTAAGCTTTCCTAATTTTGCTTTTTATATCAGAAGTAAAATGTTTGACAATTGACGATTTTTGCATAAGTTTACAGGAATACATTTAAAAGACTTAAACCAAGTCCTTACACATTACCCTCAGAGGCCTATGCAAAACAGTGACCTTTAGGGTACTTTCTGCCCTTGTTATCTACCGCATTTTTTTCTGTGTTGGACCTAATACCAGCTTCAGAAAATTTGGGAAATAGACTGGTCTTTCGAGTAATTAAGTGGTGATACATTCTTGGAAGTCTAAACTTACAAGATGCTAAAGTTAATGGGAAAGAAACTTGGTATGAGCTTTGGTTGCGTCTCCCCTGGGGCATTTACTACAACAATAATGTCTGGGTGAAACCAATGAGGGGACTTGGTTTCAGTTTTGATAGGGGTTTAAGCAGTAAAAACAGCTGTACCCTCAAAAGGCAACCTCATGGCCTTCAATAGGCTGCCATTGTTCATCTGAGGAAAAGAAAAGATGCAGAAAAACTAAACTATTAAATAGGCTTTAAATTTTATTGACAATGCATGTTTTCATGTGGTATAGAAGCAATTCCTAGGGAACATTTATAGTACATGTAGATTAGTTTTCCAGTGCTATGTCTAAGCAAGTGTTTAGAGATACAGTAAAGGTCACATTGTTGTACACTTAAAGTGGACAATAGAAATATCTAAGCAGGTACTAGCCTTAAAGTTTGCCAATACCCTCATTAGAAACTGGAAAGCTGTAATACAACGGTGGAGAAACACTTCTTTGCAGCCACATTTCATGTGTTTAGCCAGGACTTGGGGAGACTGAGACAGAATTATCTGTCTCTTTTTTTTATGACTGTACCACACTGAAAATTATTTTCTTGTTGCAAATTAGACTTAAGATGTATAAAAATACCAGTATTTGGGTGGTAGTAGTGGATACTGGCTATTGATCTGACAACTTAATAGGCCATTAAGGTGCTTCAAAATTATAGAGGACCGTTGAAGTCAGAATTATAGAAACTGTTTAATTTTCCTATTTACTAAGGTCTGCGTACCCAAAGAATAGTGCATATTTAACATGACTTTTAAAGGGGTGCTTTGACACCTGTCAGATTTTTATCTAGGAATAGAAGGATTCAAACCCTATTTGATCCTTAGCTCTTTGCTGAAAAGTGCATAAACAGGAATCCTGAATTTATTATATAGACCTCCGCATTATATAATCGAAGCAAAGGGAAACCATCGATGGAGTTAGAGGTACGTAGACTAAAAAGATGCTTGCAAATCAAATACTGGTTTTAGCATAGTTGAGATTTATTGTTTCCAAATTCAGTCACTAAGTCACAAGTCCAGAAAAAAAGCTGTTCTATTAAATCTCCCGAGGTCCTTTTACTAAGATGGAAAAGCAAGGAATCAGAGGGAGGGGTTGAGGGAGGGGGCAAAGGAATACAGCCTAGGATTGGTAGATAAATTACGAAAAAAACTTCAAAACTACTAACACTATAATTCTATTTTAATCAGCTATTTAGCTGGTACCTACTGCTATATCACCTAGTATGAAATTTCGGGATTATCGGAACAATGAAGGAAGCAGTATGCACAGAGGGCATTGAAGGTAGGTTGAGTTTAAAATTGGCAATGTAAAAGTTAGGGCTGGGATGGACATGGTGTCTTGGACCTTACCTAGTAAATACATAGCAATAGAACTCAATTATGCCTGACCTTTTGGGAAACCTAGGTGTGGTGTGGTACATAGGCTGAAAGGAGACTTGTAAGGAAAACAAAGTTAGTAAAGGTTTCTGGCAATCATGGACATTCTGGTGTCCGTGAGGCACAGCTGTCATTGTTTGGGTGGGATAACAACAGTAGGTTGAAGTAAGGTGCCATAGTGATTCATACCTGTAATACAAGGATGCTTGCAGTAAGATTGTAAAAGTAAAATACAAGATTTTAGAAACATTAGTGCTCATTGAAGTATGTATAATGGCTTGTTCCAGGCAAGTCAAGGAAACTAAATGCTTTGTGGCTCTTTTTATCCAGTTGTGCTCCTGTGAAACTGAACTTTGTAAGTAGCAGAAGATACTGGAATGTTACCAACCAAGAGGTTTCTCTTCACGGTAAGATATAATTGCGGTATGATAAAACTGGAGCTCTTAGTAAATTAAACCTGAAAGCATAAGAACACTGTCCACATCTTGTTAGAATACTAGATTGACCATTTAACCATTGACATACCATAAACTAATATCAGTGTCTAAGTTCTGAGGTGGCTACCAGCTGAAAACTTAGTTCATGTGTATAAACCATAATTGACTGGTAGTTACACAAGTCTGCACCCTGGCCTTCATGGTGATCAAAAGAAAAACAGTCTTCATATTGAAGGATAGATGTTCAGGTGAAATTTCTCCTACAGTCTGGCACGTTTCATTGTATTCAATAGATAAGGTTCATTTTTTTTTTCTTCTGGCATGACTGGTACAGTGTACAAGCATATACTCTGGCTTCCAAGACCAGAAAATGTTTTCATGCAAGTGACAATACAACTCACACTTCAGAGCTTTTTTTATTGTACACAGTATACATTTGTGGTTGATACGAAGGAGTAGTTCTGAGTTTCTATGTTCAAGGTTGCTCAGCTGCTGTTACTGCTCGCAGTTTTTCTTTCAGGATCAAGGTGGGTGCTTTCATATAAAATCTTATTTTTAATTCCTTCTCTGGCAATTCTTTCCTGGATTCTTTGCTTAGCAAAATTATACCTACAGTGGAACCTTGTAAGAAAAGAATATGAATAAATTTCTAGTTTCTATATGACTACCCTAAGGGATTTTTAATTTTATACAAATTGCTAAAATTTGTATGACCCCTGTCAAGATACAAAAGCTTTAAAAGTTTTTCATGTCACCTTAGATTATCTGTTGTGGAACATGAACATTGTTGGACTCTGTAGGTTGAGCTCACTTTATTCAGATCAAGTGCATACTTTAATGGAACTCTGCCATTCATCTGCTCGGGCATTCAATGACTGATAGTGGGTGTTTACCAGAATTGACATTGTCATAGGGCACATTTTGATGTAAAGAATTTTCTTACCCGAGACTAACGGCTCATGGCTTTAATCCCAGCAGCACTCAGGATAGTAAGGGCTAGCCAGGACCACAGGAAATCATCCCACCCCAACCCCGATTTCTGAAGGCGTCGGTGGTGGTGTTGCACACCTTTAATCCTAGCAGATTTAATCCTAGGGTGGAGTACAGATCTGAGTCTAAGACCACCCTGGTTCCAGGAGAGCCTGGGCACAGTAAACCTCGAAATAAACATACCAGCATCCTAAAGTCACCAGCATAAATCCTCCCACTCCAACGTCACATGATCTCCTAATTCTACCTGTCAAAAACAAGCATGGTCAGTGTGATCATGTCCTATGTAGAAAGTGTCTCACCACAGAAATAATGCTCAGGAGAAATACTCACTGGTCACCAAGAAATGTCCAAGTCCAGCCACAACAGATCCTAATGAGCCATATAGTATAGATTCTCGTGCACAGGGAATGTTCTCAACATCTAAAATTCCTAGGAGCTTAAAAGACTAGGAAAAAAAATGAAAAAGGATGCAGATTGAACGAGGAAAAAGTTTAAATGTACTCTTAATTTATCATTTTGGGAATTGGAATAATTCCTGAGGCTGCACTTGCATATTTGACCTCTAGTATAAGGTAACTAAATAGTTTTATATCTGTCGCACACACTGGCTATGGGATGGGATGGAAAGACTTTCGTTTTAACATCCTGTTAATATATGTCTTAGCCAGGCAGCTGGTAGGTGGTTCGTGACTGTAATACCTACAAGAAGGTTGCTGTGAATTGAAAATTGGTCTGCGCTCCAAGATTTAAAATTCTCATAAGCGAAATTGTAACTTGTTAATGTAGCATGTGTGAAAGAAGCTACGCTGTCTGTATTGGATCCCAAAAACAGGTCTGGATAATTGAATGTCGGTCTTCAGTGCCATCCAATCAATGCAGCTAGAACACTGCATAAGAGATGGCGCCTGCAATGGGAGTAATGAGGGTGGGAAAAAGAAAGCTAAGTCAAGGCAGCTCAGACCTTTTAGAGCACAGATGTGGGTAGGGCTGGACCTTACTCGTGTCTTACTCCTTTGGCTCAAGGATCTGCTTGAAGATAAAATGTGACTTGGTTATCATTAAAGTAAAATTTTGCTTTCCCAGATGGCTTCTGTTGGCTTAGTGTTTTTTGTTTGTTTGTTTGTTTTTGCTTGTATCACACCCAACTTTTGGGCTACTTCATAAACAGGCTGCAAGCTTCACAGGCTGTCCTTCCACTCAGTTTGGGAATTGCTCTCACCATAAGCTAACTGGGAGACTGCACACCCTCCTTTGTTGTAGCATAAGAATGATGGGATAGTGGGACAGCTATAAACACTCTTGCATCCAGGACATGATGAATGGGCACAGGCTATCTATATAAATGGGATCTCAAGTCGGCCAAGATAAATGCACCTAAATGCACCAGATACATCCAGACCACTTCAATTGGATTCCCTCCTGTAATTGTGAAACACTGCAATTTACAGGTTACTGTTCTTAGCTTGGACAGCTCAGATAAAATGTACCATTAAAGTGCTCAATGCATTTAAAATATGCTCAAGCTGACTAAGCAGTTAAGAGCACTGGCTGTTGTAACTACAGGTTGTCCCTAACACCTGCATGGCAGTTGTATCACTACAACTTGGGGGGGGGGGCACCTTGGACTCCATGCAAGCAAAAACATGCAGATGGAACATTTTTAGAAAGGTTCACCCTTTGATGGGGAACATGTGAGTGTTGAAGGGTCGCACACCTGGCCTTTTCTGCCTTTCATGGCTGGTAGGCAAGTTCCCCACCAGTATTCCTAAGCCCCTTTTTGCATTTACCAGTCCAACCCCCTAAAGAAGTGCTGCTATTTGGATGGATGGGAGTCAGAACTATCTGATGACAGTCTCACCACTAGGGCTCTAGGAATTAGCTCTAGTTTTAGGCGTCGTGCTGAGCTATCTCACTAGCCCCAACCAGAACCAAAATACCAATTTCCTGCTCCCTTTTAATGGCAAGACTACTAACATTGCCTACATCTCTACAGCTAGTAACTCCAATTGTCTTGCACAGCAGGGTTGTCAATGCCAAGATTTAGAATTCATCTCAGCAATGGGATACATTTGTTTGGAACAATTTGCAGTAATGTCATCTTGTTCCACTGGCCAGGATCTGCCCTTTTATCTGAATTTAATGTTTCTACCTTGCAGCTCAAGACTTACAGTTGAATGTTATTTATACCCCTCCCTGTTGTGCTTATTCAGTCATTTTGTAAGCTGATGAGGTATTTTCAAAATATCTTTGTCAAATCCACGTGAAGTTTTTTCAGCAAGTCTAGATGAGATAGGTCAACACTTGACCTTTGTTGTAATACCAGCTTATCTGATCAGTACGTTATAGCTGTTTAATTCGTAAAAATGTATCAGGTGACATCTTTAGACGTTTCACCATGGCTTTTCGATTTTACTTAGACTACAGTCGTAAGCATTGCTACCAAGGCACGTACATGCTCGAGTACGAGTTTTGTATCACATTTTCCTTTTGCCTGTAGCCATTCTATGAAGTCTAGCTGTTCACTGTCTAACAGGGCAGTTTCCTTAGGTCTGACTTCTAAATGAAATTCCACAGCCTAATTACCAGAGTAGGATGTAAAGTGCAAAGGCTGTCCGTTTGATAATAGAGCCCAATCCATGCAGCACTCAAAAGGATTAGCGAATCTACCTTACCTGTGTGTGCGTGCGCGCGTGCTCGTGTGTTATGCAAGCAGAGACTGCCGCATTAGCCCAGGCTGGCCTAGAACTCGGCTGCCCCTGCCTCAGCCTTAATGCTGAGATTACTGGCACGTGTCACCTCGCCCAGCGCTCCGGATAGATTTCATGACCCCTCCTACTAGCCCTTAGCTACCAAAGTACAGCGCAGTATTCATTCCGATCCCGCGGGTCTGCTCTCGGCCAGTTTGAATCAACTGCGAGCACTAGACGGCTGCAATCGCCGGTGGTCATGGGGACCGGACAGGAAAGCCCCGCGCCCTGCGCGCCCTCCCCGCGGGCCCCACGGCGCGCTTTACCT